CATTTTGAGCTAACAAAATTTGCTGATAAAAATGTTAACCTATAACGTTTTGGGAGGGCCGGGGAAGGTTCTCTGAGAAAGGATTGCCAATTATCTTCTACTACTATAATGAGACAAAAACACAAAATGGGTTTACGAAAGAACTAATAACACTATAGAAGGGAGATAAACGGAATAGTCTTATTGAATTATTCTAAATTTAATGATATAAAGGGTGTTGTGGCCATGATTTAAAAAACAATGATACAGGGATAATTTGGGAAAGGAAAATGGAGGGAACTTATATGGAAGGGAGATTACTTCACATTGTTATTGAAAAAAAATGCACATCCTTAATGTTTATTTCCCAGCCAATAAATATAGAAAGCAAGAATACATAGATCAACTTAATAAATACTTAAGTGAATATTCAATGGAATATTTGGTAATGGGTGGAGATATAAATTGGATAGGGGATGAAATAGGAAAGGTGGTTTAACTGCAAATGATTATAGGTTTAGAGAGGAAATGAAAACATTGTTAAATGAACATAAATTATATGATATCTATAGAATGCTAAACCCTCCAAGAATGGAATATACCTATGAATATGGTAATGGTCAAGCTAGTACACTTGATAAATTTTATGGAACAAATTTTAATATAAAACTATACAAAGATTCTAACATTACTAATGTGAAAATTTCGGACAAATAAAATCATAAATTTAAAAAATAATGTTACTATCATGAAAAAATGGGGATTGGATATTTGGAAATTGAACAATAAAATTCAAGAAGATTTGGACTTTGAAAATGAAATTAAAGAGAAAATAATAAACTTCTTAGGGAATGAACACATAGATGCTATAAAGTAATGTGGGATGGTTTAAAAGAGGATTTCAAAAACACAGCAATGAGATACGGTAAAAGATTAAGAGAAATAACAAATAAAGATTAAATAGAAATTAAATTACAATTGCATAGGGAAAACTCAATGTTGGCAGAAAAAATATTGAAAACAAAACTTCAGAAAATATTAGATGATAAGGAAAGAGGTAAAGAAATAAGAGCGGGAAAAATCAAAGACTTATTTAGGAAAGAAAGGGGCTATTTAGAGGAGAAGAACTAAGGTAAGAGGGAGAAAAAAATCTATAGAAAAAAGGGATAAAATAGCGGATACTAATAAAGAAAAATCACATTTTAAATAGGATTAAGGAATATTATACTGAGTTGTAAAAAACGCAAAATATAAATTCAAATTTGATTAAAGAATATTTAAATGAAATAAAGTGTGAGATGATATCATCAGTAAATAAAAACTTATGTAATGATTTCATCTACACAGATGAAACTATAGCAACTAACGAAAGGGAAATCCCCAGGAAGAGATGGACTTACGGCGGAATTCTATTCTAAATTTCCAAAGTGAGTTATCGCCAATTTTAGAGCTCCTATACAATAATATATTACTAGAAAATGACAAAATGTCGGATTCAATGAGAGAATGTGTAACATCTTTAATTTATTAAGGAAAGGGGGATAGGGAAGACCTAAAAATAACTGGAGGCCCATCTTCCTCCTAAGTAATAATAATAACATATTAAGTAAACTGTTAGCTAATAGGGTAAGAAAATTTGTATAAAGACAATAATAAATATCAATCAAACATGTGGTGCAAACGGGGGGAAATTCAAAATAGTATTTAATATTAGAACAATAATAGATTATATTAAAGAAAATGGAAAAATGGGCGCCATGGTACTCATTGATCAAGAAAAAAGCTTTTGACAGAGTCGAACTTAACTACATAAAAAAGGTTTTAAAAAATTTATTTCGGAGAAAACTTCCGGAAATAGACTAAAATCCTGAACAACTAAATTACTGCAAGAGTACAGGTTAATGGAATATTAACGGATAAATTTGAAATATAAAAATCAGTGAGGCAAGGTTGCCAACTATCAATGCTATTATACGGAAGAGCGATAGAAATTCTAAATATAAAAAAAAAAGAATTAGCAAACTTATAGAAGGTATAAAATTACCCAATTTGAAAGATGAAATTAAAGTCCTCCAACATGCTGATGATTATGCATCAACTTTATTAATGGCCCGAACTCTTTTAATACCTAGAAAAGGAGTATGGAAATTTTGGAAAAGCATGGAGATCAAAAATTGACCATGATAAAACCGAAATACTTAAAATAGGAAACTGGAGAGGCAATCACCCTGGCTTGCCCCCAAACTACGTTAAAAATAGAGTAAAGGTACTAGGTATATATTTTGGAACGAATGAAGAGGAGGAAAACTTTAAACAAATGATTAAAAAATTAAACAATGCACAGATATCTTTTGCGATAACGCCGTTATGTATAATGGAGCGTGCACAAGTAGCCAAAACATATTTATACTAAAATGTGAATAATATTCTCAAATCAAATGACTTAGAAAACAACAAATTAGAGAAAATAGACATATCTATTATTAAATGCATATGGGGTTATGGAACCCACTACATTCAGAAAGAGACACTATAGAAGTCAAAACAAAAGAGGAGGTCTAAATTTACCCAACCCAGTTTTTATAAAGTATACTAATATTTTAAACCGTTTTAAAGCTCTTAAATCTAAACCCAATATGCCTTGTGAGGCACTGTATGTATATGTATATATATATATATATATATATATATATATATATATATATATATATATATATATATATATATATATATATATATATATATATTGGTATGGGCTAATTAAGAAAAATAGACAAGATATTTATAAAAAAAATAACAACGTAAGTAGACTATTAGAAGTACCGAGGAAATTAAGATATGTAGGATAGATAAATTTTGGAAACTAATAAGAAACATACAAATGGGAAAATAAGAGATATAAGTAAAAAGAATAACAGAAGAAAAATAGAAAATGAAATATGGGTGTAAACTGTGGGGTAATATGGAAAAATTGGGGGGAAAAAACTCTTTAAAAATACAATGTTTAATATTTAAATATTTGCACATTACATGGCTAACCGGGGAAGACGCCCTAAGAAGGCATATGATAAGGAAAATATATGTAAAAAATATAACTTTACTAAAATACATGTAAAATCTGAATGTGATAAATTAAAAGTAGAAATGAATGCTATAATCACACAAATTTCCAAAACGGAGAATTTTAGAAAAAAATATGCTTTTATATCTAGACGGAAATTTTTAAAAAAGATACTTATATGAAAATAGTTGAATACATTATATCTATAATGAAAAAGTGTGGGCAAGTTATAGCCATTAGGAAATGAAAGATTAACCGAACTAACAAAGTACTAATAATAGCCTAATATATATTATTTTCTCTTTATAGACAGGAATCTACACTTGGAAGAAGTAAGAGACAAGGACATGGTAGGGCTATATCACATGGCGATACGCGAAGTGAGCAGGCCTGCGAAAGAGCCTCCGAAAATCCAATTTGTAGTAAACAAAATTTTTTGGCAATCTTGAAATAACCCTAGTAAAAATGCAAGGAGTAACATATTTAATAAAAGAAATGTTTGCGCCCTGTATTGGAAAAGTATCTAATAATTTAATTTATAGTACTTATATAAAGGGAAAAACGTTAAATTACGCAAAGTCATGTAAAACACTAGGTGTTTTTTTTACATAAAAAAATATATTATGCACCGTCTCATCCTTAAAATATAATTGTCCAAAATTCAAAATTACATAAATTGAATAATAATATAAATTAAAAAATATATATATCTTTCTTTTCTTTTCTTTTTTCCAGTATTTTGTGTATATATTAAGTATGAATGAAGAGAATGAGGTGGGAAAGTGAATAAAAGTGACAATATATACACATATAATATAAGTTTTGTTTCTAGAAAAATTGGGAAATGATTTGGATATAGCGGCTGTCTTCACAAATACACTATTTAGCAACATACACTATAGCACAATACATAAAGCATACATAGGACGTAGGACACACTTAGCCAAGGTCACGTAAATATGAACAAGGGGAACGACCCCGATAAGGTACATGAAACCCTATCGGATGAGTGAACCTTTAGATACATTAGGAATAAATACCCCATCAAAAATTGAAAACAATAAATTTTTGATCAAAATTCTTTTTATAAAGTTTAACATAGCAACACATTAGGGGGAAAACAAAAATACATGAAAACACTTTACTGTTTGTTTTTTTTTATTTTTTTTTTATTAAGTAGGTGGGTTTGTCTGGTGTTCCCCCCCCCCCAAGAATATTACGCTAAATTACACAACGCGCAACGACACGTGTTGGATCTTAAGTGTGTGCAATTGCTACTCCAGGATTGGTGCGTGAAAGACTCATAAAATTCTGGTTTCGATGATGAGATTTTAATTATCGAGTTGACGCTTAGGGTTGTGTTTTAAACGACACGCTGAATCGCAGCGTTGACTTCGGCTATTCCATCACTGGTTGTGGTCATTATATACCTCCTATGAATTTGTTTAAACCAGCGCGATACTTGTATGGTCCACTAGTCAAGACAGTAGTGAGGAAATTATGAAGTTCCTGTGTGACCTTTAACTTGTTGCAATTATCCCTAGTCACTTTCGGCATGTGTGCACATTGTGTTCTATAGAAAACGCTCATGTTGTTGTATCGACCTTGGCAAATATTCTTGCTGAGGTTTTTTTTTTTTTTTTTTTTTTTTTAAATTTTTTAAAGCATGACATTGTCTTATGCGACAAGATTGTTATATGGATTGTCGAAAAGAAATCAGCTGTGGAAAATTTGCTTCTTGACTAGTGTATGTTTTATTTAGATTTTTAACGTAGCTTTAATACTTTTTCATCATATCTCTACGATGTCTGCAGTGTAGTAGTTTATAGTGATGTCTACCACTGGGGCATCATGCTTCATACATTATCCTGACACCAAGCCAACCAGTCCTAACACTAACCCTTTTAATGCTGAGCCCCCTAAGGCTGCAGCTCTTGTTACCATTTTATAAGCCTTTGGTATGACATGGCTGGGGTTCGAACACACAACCTCCCGCATCTGAGGCGGACGCTCTAATCACGAGGCCACACGAGTGCACTTTCTTGACGACGATGAAGCGCTATGGTAGAATCACTGACGGCGTAAATATGTAGAGTCCTTCCCACGTTAACCATCTCAAAATGATATTCAGCAACAGCTGGGGTTTCCCTGATCCTACCGGGCCAATAATTAACTCACAAACTGAGTTTTTGGAAACATATCACCATGCTTGTGTAGTTTGGAATTTGCATGGGCAGAGAAATGAATGACGGTAAACGCATCAAAGCTTTTCCTTTATCGCGATATTTGCCTTTGCTGGGCTGTTAGCACACGAACTCGATACGCCAATCTCAAACTTACGTTTGTTTTGATTTCCATTTCTTGCGCGGCCTGATTATATAAGCAAAAACTTCCACATGTACTTGTAGCTATATAGTTAGGAAACATCATGCTGTTAAGTTTATCCTTTTAAAAACTTATTTCGTCATCGCCTATTACATTGTAAACTATTTTATACGAAATGCTTAATTTATACCGATATTATATGCCTAAACAATGTTAATTATTCTCCTCCTACACATTAGCTAAATGTGAATTTATGGATTGTTGTGCAGGATGTTGCAATCTATTATTAGATTAATCATCTGCACAAGGCTGACTATCTTTTCGTCTGATTTTCATCTACAAAAAAATAAATCTCCATTCCCCCGACTTTTCCCACTTGTCACCAAATGGATAAAAAAGAAATTAACAAAGATTTTGAAAACTTTTTTAACACCTACCCCCATCAAAATAAACGTGATGGCGTTTGAAGAGAAGCATGAAAGTAGTGAAGTGGGGTAGTATAGGGCCTATGGGAAAATACATTACAGACCCACACCCACAACCTTGCCAGGATAGAAACATGACTTTTAGGGACAGGAAATCACTCTGGATACATATAGGGAAGACTTAGATAGCTGACATTTGAAGATTTTATTGACATTGTTGACTTTTACCCTGAATTTCAGTGGTTAGAAATTATTTACTATTTTACTATGTTTATTACTTTCGCTTTAGAAGTATTTAACTGACACATGATCATGGATACTTTACAAGAGATCATTCGTGGCTTGCTTGGTGAGTTGAGAAAGCATTTACCTACATTTGGTCAAAAGTTACGTCACCAATGTTTGAACTACTAGTACCTAAAAGCTATAAGAAGATGGATTCTGATGAAAGTGTTCAAGTGTTCAGGCATTGATAAACTACTCGTGGGCGAGAAGCATTGTTGTGATTGTTTTTACTACCAGGTACACTAACTGAATCGAATTCCAAAGAAGAGTTAAATGGTTACCCAAACATTGTACACAATGCAAACTTAGTTTAGGAAGAAACTTCTGAACGGTTTGTAATGTGCATATTAGTAACTAAATATTTTGGATACGTCGACGGAATATGATCACTTTGTGCAGAGAATACACTTACAGCTGCCGAAAATGATGTATAGGGACATTCTATGATGCCATGAGCTTTATCATTGGTGATATAACAGATTCTGTGGAAGGAGATCAATGCTCATATTCAAACGGTGGACGATTACCATAGCCTATTACTAGAGATGTGTCCGTTTGAATTGGGGTCGATATGTAATGTGTGTCTTAGTAACTTGCTGTCTGGGATTTCGTTTATCGTCCGATTTTTTGTGGACTCTTTATGAACAGTACCTACCATTCAATAAGACATGAAAGTGATCCCATTAAATGTCCACGAGAGACTCCTTCACCTTAAAGTTTTACGCTTTCATTCCGAATTCTTCTCGACCTGTACGGGAAAACATGATTCGTCGACAGTTCGGTACTGAAGATGTGTATGACGATGTGTGTGTAGCTTGTTACTTACACCCTCACTGGACAAATGTATGTGACTGGAAAAGTTGGAGTTTCGAGACAAGGACTAAAGAAGTGGCACACTATACCCGATATTTATAATTCTAAAAAATTAAAATGTTCAGTAAAAAGTCACTTTATAATCTGTGTTAGTGACAGTAACAGAATAAGAACAGTCTGTCACGGAGTAAATCCGCTCTTTTCAGAACAAAACCGTCATGGACATCCCAGAAAGGCCATTCCGGGAGGACCCTTGTGTAACTGTGCCAATGAATGTAGAGATTCCCAGAACACTACACTGTCCCTAGGATCCCACATTTTGATCACGAAAAATGTTGTACAGAGACTTGTTTATATTTCACTATAATTGTTTTTATGTGTCTTTTATTCATATACTTAACCATTTGGCTTTTATGTATTTTTGTCTTTCGTGTTGTTCACAATGAAATATGCCAATAAACGTGTCCTGAAAAAGTATAAAAGCTCTTGTCTTATTTGTCTTCATGTCAAAAGTGATATTCCTTACACTATGTATTTGCTTCCTCTTCCTCCACTTTCAAAGTCATCGACGAACACTTAGATCGTGCTAGTTGGGAGGCCTTGTGTCTTTTGTGTCCCTTTAACATGCTCATTGCTGGACTCAGCTGTTCAGGCAAATCCGAATTTGTTAATTGTTTGATCTAACATAAACATCATTTGATCGATCGTCCTCCTCAAAGAATCGTGTGGTGTTACAAAGAGTGACAATCGACGTACAGCCTTCTACAAGAAAGTCTAGGTGATTCCATCGTGTTTGTGGAAGTCGTTCCTGTCGAAGACGACATAATCATGTCTGACCCCAGTGAAACCCATTTGATCATCTTTGACGACAGGTTAGGAGAAGACGAAGAAAAATTAAACTGTGTGTTTTGCGTAAAAGTCATCATCGTAATGCCAGTGCCATTTAAATTACCCAAAATTTGTTTCAGCAAAGTAAAGCACATAGCACCAACATTCTCAATGCTCATTATGTGGTCTTGTTTAAAGGTAAAGATAAATCACAAATGCAAGTCTTAGCCAAATAGTTAGGAAAAACATGTCTGACTCATGCCTACAAAGATGCCACTCAAACCCCACACGCCTATTTCCTCGTTGATTTAAAACCCACTACCCCCCCCCATTATTTGCGATTTCGTACCCATCTGTTTCACCACTGGTGCCATGACTGAGGACTTGTCGTGTACACGTCCCCGTCGTCGAGGTAACAACCTTCACCAAACAAATCTATAAAACCTCGGTTACTTGGATTTTTTTTCTCACTCAGCATTAACATCAACGTCCTTTCAAGTCTCGTCTTCCCATCAAATTGATTCGTGCCTTCTACGGCATCAGTAGCTAAAAACTTAACTAATACGTGTTCGTGTCTTAGAAGCTAGTCTCAAACAAGGCTTACGAAGGTTCACGGTGAAAACACGTCCTTTCTGCAAAGCGTCATTTAGATTCCTCATCAAACCGAATGATTTTTGTACACAAATAAAGTAGCCTTGACGCAAGTAGCCGATTCTCACATTGACACACAAACCAAAAAAAGCAACTCACTTTAAAAACTGTAGGTAGTAGACCTCTAGGAGTGTCATCATTTGTTCCCTCTTAAAATTGGATCCCATTGCTCGCAAAGTTCTCCCCAAGAAATAAACCAATCCCTGACTTACCCAGAAGAAAAAGAAAACAGACCAACACTGTCAAGACTAAGTCACAGCCTCAGAAAAAGGGAAAGAGCAACGGTTTCAAGACCTGGTCACGTCCTCAGAAAAATAAAAAGAAAATCCTACAGAAAATAGTTTCTTCCCACAAGAGAGCGTCTTCAAAAACTACTACTATCTTCCTCTTTAGTGTCAGCGGATGCTGCTCACAAAGTACTTGCCCCCAAGAGAGATCAGGCATGTTACAGAGTTTACTAGATTTGTCCGAGCAAGAACTGTCCCAATTTAGTCCGTTACGACTTCCACCACAACGTATGTTGCCTGTTGTGAAGTTGATACAACGTAAATACAATCAGTGGCGAAGCATTTTAGTATAAAAAGACCTGAGGTAAACATTACGAATCAGCGTTTTGTGCTCCTGAACACCCAAAGATGGCCCCACCAAGAAGTGCACACCGTCACCATCGTCATTCTTCTGTCCAAAAAGGTAAACGAAAACGAAAAAGACAGCCACGTCTTCCTTAGAAACGTGTAGGCAAACATTTTCGTCAGTCTTTGAAAAGACACGCTTGTTCAAGGAAAAGATGTCACCTCATTGCCGTTCTCCTGCTAGAAAAAAAAAGAAAAAGACGTTTTGGTCATGAGAAAGAATGCTTAGTCAAACATCGACGTCACCCAACCAGTGAAGATACACTCGCCCAAAGGAAAATAGGAGCTGCCAGAGGAAAATTGTTTGGTAATTTTGAAAATCACATAGTTACCTTTATGACGAAGCGATAGTGGATAAAAAGGATAAAAGGCTGTTTGGCAAGTCATCGACGTTAATGTATTTTTGGTGTGTGAACTGGAATTAACAAAGATGTCACCCCCCAAAAAAGACTTTCCTCTTTGAAGAATTTTAGTCAAACATTGGGACATGTCTGTGCTGTAGAAAGCTCCTCCACCCATGGAACAACAACTCATTTAAACTGCCCCAAAGATACGGTGAGCGAATGTGATCTGAACGTCTTGAAAGGCACGATGCCTTTGACTAAACTTCAGAAAAATTGCTTCGCCAAGTGGTCCAAAAGAAAATACACATTCCTCAAAAGAAAAAATGTTTGTGCAACGCGAATGATTTTTACCACTGTTAGGTCTTATTACCAATGTAGCGAAACCTATGTTGGGTGCAATGGGACATATTATACCAGCCCTAATTCCAAGATTAAAAGCCAAAAAGATAAAAGGAAGAATCTTAAGTCAAGAGATCACAGAATTGATTCTTGAAATCTGATGGAAGGACAAAAACTGACTTTAGTCCTCGATAAACGATAAATGGAATACCATCGTTGGCAAGAACAACGAACCAAATATTTACTTCCCAATCCTCATTTGATCGAGATGTCACAGATGCAACATGAATTGCAATTGTTGATAGATCACAGAGATTTGCGATTTGTCAGCAACAGGAAAATCTCAATGGTACGGTCAATTGTTGCAATGACTGCAAATCTTTCACCAAA